GTTGTTCTGTGCGTTCTCGGGTTTGTCTGTGTGTTCTCGGGTTGTTCTGTGTGTTCTCGGGTTGTTCTGTGTGTTCTCGGGTTTGTCTGTGTGTTCTCGGGTTTGTCTGTGTGTTCTCGGGTTGTTCTGTGTGTTCTCGGGTTGTCTGTGTGTTCTCGGGTTTGTCTGTGTTCTCGGGTTTGTCTGTGTGTTCTCGGGTTGTTCTGTGTGTTCTCGGGTTTGTCTGTGTGTTCTCGGGTTTGTCTGTGTGTTCTCGGGTTTGTCTGTGTGTTCTCGGGTTGTTCTGTGTGTTCTCGGGTTTGTCTGTGTGTTCTCGGGTTGTTCTGTGTGTTCTCGGGTTGTTCTGTGTGTTCTCGGTTTGCTCTGTGTGTTCTCAGGTTGTTCTGTGTGTTCTCAGGTTGCCTCTGTTTTCTCGGGTTTGTCTGTGTGTTCTCGGGTTTGTCTGTGTGTTCTCGGGTTTGTCTGTGTGTTCTCGGTTTGATCTCGGGTTTGTCTGTGTGTTCTCGGGTTGTTCTGTGTGTTCTCGGTTTGTTCTGTGTGTTCTCGGTTTGTTCTGTGTGTTCTCGGTTTTATCTCGGGTTTGTCTGTGTGTTCTCGGGTTGTTCTGTGTGTTCTCGGGTTGTTCTGTGTCTTCTCGGGTTTGTCTGTGTGTTCTCGGGTTTGTCTGTGTGTTCTCGGGTTGTTCTGTGTGTTCTCGGGTTGTTCTGTGTGTTCTCGGTTTGTTCAATGTGTTCTCGGGTTTGTCTGTGTGGTCTCGGGTTTGTCTGTGTGTTCTCGGGTTTGTCTGTGTGTTCTCGGTTTGTTCTGTGTGTTCTCGGTTTGATCTGTGTGTTCTCGGTTTGATCTCGGGTTTGTCTGTGTGTTCTCGGTTTGTTCTGTGTGTTCTCGGGTTGTTCTGTGTGTTCTCGGTTTGTCTGTGTGTTCTCGGTTTGTCTGTGTGTTCTCGGGTTGTTCTGTGTGTTCTCGGTTTGTTCTGTGTGTTCTCGGGTTGTTCTGTGTGTTCTCGGTTTGTTCTGTGTGTTCTCGGGTTGTTCTGTGTGTTCTCGGGTTGTTCAATGTGTTCTCGGGTTGTTCTGTGTGTTCTCGGTTTGTTCTGTGTGTTCTCGGTTTGGTCTGTGTGGTCTCGGTTTGTCTGTGTGTTCTCGGGTTGTTCTGTGTGTTCTCGGTTTGTCTGTGTGTTCTCGGGTTGTTCTGTGTGTTCTCGGTTTGTTCTGTGTGTTCTCGGGTTGTTCTGTGTGTTCTCGGGTTGTTCTGTGTGTTCTCGGGTTGTTCTGTGTGTTCTCGGGTTGTTCTTTGTGTTCTCGGTTTGTTCTGTGTGTTCTCGGTTTGTTCTGTGTGTTCTCGGGTTGTTCTGTGTGTTCTCGGTTTGTCTGTGTGTTCTCGGTTTGTCTGTGTGTTCTCGGGTTGTTCTGTGTGTTCTCGGGTTGTTCTGTGTGTTCTCGGGTTGTTCAATGTGTTCTCGGGTTTGTCTGTGTGTTCTCGGGTTGTTCTGTGTGTTCTCGGGTTGTTCTGTGTGTTCTCGGGTTGTTCTGTGTGTTCTCGGGTTGTCTGTGTGTTCTCGGGTTGTCTGTGTGTTCTCGGGTTGTTCTGTGTGTTCTCGGGTTCTGTGTGTTCTCGGGTTGTTCAATGTGTTCTCGGGTTGTTCTGTGTGTTCTCGGTTTGTTCTGTGTGTTCTCGGGTTGTTCTGTGTGTTCTCGGTTTGTCTGTGTGTTCTCGGTTTGTCTGTGTGTTCTCGGGTTTGTGTGTTCTCGGTTTGATCTCGGGTTTGTCTGTGTGTTCTCGGTTTGATCTCGGGTTTGTCTGTGTGTTCTCGGTTTGATCTCGGGTTGTTCTTTCTATGTGTTCTCGGGTTGTTCTCGGGTTGTCTATGTGTTCTCAGGTTGTTCTGTGTGTTCTCGGGTTCTGTGTGTTCTCGGGTTGTTCAATGTGTTCTCGGGTTGTTCTGTGTGTTCTCGGTTTGTTCTGTGTGTTCTCGGGTTGTTCTGTGTGTTCTCGGTTTGTCTGTGTGTTCTCGGTTTGTCTGTGTGTTCTCGGGTTTGTGTGTTCTCGGTTTGATCTCGGGTTTGTCTGTGTGTTCTCGGTTTGATCTCGGGTTTGTCTGTGTGTTCTCGGTTTGTTCTCGGGTTGTTCTTTCTATGTGTTCTCGGGTTGTTCTTTCTGTGTGTTCTCGGTTTGATCTGTGTGTTCTCGGATTGTTCTTTGTGTTCTCGGTTTGCTCTGTGTTTTCTGTTAGTTCTGTGTGTGGTCGTCTAGATGGTGACAGGTCACTGTGTCCTCTCAGTGGTAAGTAGTTTTGCGCACGTGCCATTGCGCAGTGTTGTGTTGACATTACGCGACTGCCACTTCCTTACTGCACGCTATCCATGATTCGATGTCTGTATTTGCAGCCCTGTTTTAAAAGTGAACCATTTCATGACAAATCTTAATATTATCTAACTAACGGGACCGGGTGGTCAGGCGCGCTGACTTGGTTGATGTATGTCATCGAACCTCATTTGCGTAGATCAATGCTCATGATATCAGTCACTTGATTGTCTGGTCCAGATTTGATTATTTACAGACCGCCATCATATAGCTGTAATATCGCCGGGTTCGGCGTTAAACAACAAACAAACAAACAACAACAATAATGTTATCTGAATGTGCAGACGTAACTGACGTTGCCTGGGTTAGAAATACAATGTTGACAGTAATGAACCCTGGGTAGACGAGTTCACAGCTCAGAACATCAGTAGATTACAGCACTGACCAGTTTCAGTTTCACAGCAGTAACTGCAAAATCTACGTTGCTGCAAATAGCAAGAAAGCTCTTTGCAATCTTAGTGGAAAAAACCTGCTCGAATGACATGGGCCTTCCTCTCGTCACTGTCCACATGTCTAGCATACAACTTGAAGCATGCTCGATTGTATTCAAAAATTGGTGAAATGTAGACATCAATCCTGGAGCTGTTGGAATACTGCGCGACATAATAGAAACGTTGACTTTTGGAAAGTTACATATAAAGCGAAGAACCCCTTTCCATATCCAATAGAAAGCTCTGCATAAGGCAGAGTCGATTGTACAATTCCGACTATATCATGAGCATGTGCTTATCAATCACTATCAAATATGATGATACCAGGTGTTCGCGAAAAGGTGAGCAGCGGTCACAAACACATACAAAGGGAAGTCAATTGCAAAGAAGGGAACATTTGGTACAAGTCAAAATAGGGAATTGCATCGGACATCATGTTTGTCACTGATGCTTAAAATTTCGAAATGTCCTCAACATGTCTACCATAAAACATTTTGAACGCTTCACCGTGGACTTGAACGCTCTTTGAAATCTTAGTAGAAAGAGCATGCTCGATTGTACCTGAAAAGTTGTGAAATGTAAACATCGAAGGTTGTAGCTGATGGAATATTGCTCGACATGAAGGGAAAGTCGACTATTGGAAAGTTGAAGTCATCCGACTTGTCATACAGTGTTTTGGAGACTGTTTTGTCACTCTGAATCTTTATGCATGGATCTAAATATTGAGACATGAGGCGGCCTCACTGGTCTCCTTTCTTTCTAGTTCAGGTGGGTAAATCAGTAGATGGGAATTGGCTATTTATTTGTAATTATCCCTCTTGTCACACGGTCCTGTGGAGTATTTCTAACTCAGTGGAGTAAATGAGTGTGAATTGACTATTTGACAAAATTATTGAACGTCATCAGATTATGTATATACCACCAAGTTTTGAAAAGGGTACACGGTACATAAACCTTTTCCGCGGTTTTCGGAACGAGACGGCATAAATGTTTTCCTTCGGTTTGGGGTGAAATCAGTGTCACCTGAAAAATCTGTCATTCTGGCAATATCTGACACTTTGTCAACCTCCATATCTACTTCAGTAAGGGTCTCAGTGCTTGCTGTACACACACACACCCTAGCATAAGGGCTTTAGCTTTCCATTTTATATCAAAATATAGATCTGGATATGTCTTTTTTAATGCACGAGCAAACGGTTTCGGTTTTCGCTTTTTTATAAGTGTTCCCAAATTATCCTCGTGACTGCGGGAGGATGAAGCTAAATCCTGATATGTTGGGACACTTATAGCTTTGCATTCCATGAGTGCATCTGCCAATCATCGGAGATTTACCTTGTCCTTCATCTCACAATAGTCTCAGATGGATTATTTTTTCCAACTGTTTCATAGCGTGACATTGTGTCATCAAAGTCGCACGCCAATTGGTGGTTTGTGGAATCGTTGCTTTCTTTCATTGCTTGGATAACCGCTGACTTAAATTTTGAAGGTGACAATTCATTACAAAACTTCCAAAAGGAACGATTTTGTTTCTGGTTGTCAGAGGAGGCAATGATACTGGCCCCACCGGCTTCTGATAGGGCATCTTGTTGTTCAAGATTATCAAGAAGTAATGTCCCTTCCAGTCTCAAGTCTTGAGTAAGTGGTTGCCAGAGTTCCTTGATGGCTCCGTGGACATCTTCCATTGCAGACATCCTGGAAACGTCACCTATTAAGAAGAAAATGTTAAGATCATTCAGACATTAGTTTTTGCTTATACTTATGTATTTATGAGAATGATGTCAACATGTTTTTGCGTTTTGTTATATGGCAGTGTATTTTATTGCTAAACAATGATTGTAACTGTGTTAACATTATTTCTTTTGAGATTCAATAGACGTTCGTTGCATTTGGTTTGGGCAGTGACCAGTCGTAAGAAAGTTCGGGTCGTATGCCGCGGACGGTGATAGTATGTTATAGAAACATATGGATAGTTCTGTAATGTTCTAGTGCTGCTTCACTGTATAGAAACTTCGTACCACTTTATTTTGTACTGCAATTGTAATTGCTGTGCAGTAATTTGTATTGATTTGTATACCTAGTTCATTTTTGTAATACATTTGTTGATTTCACACAAGTCCTTTTACGTACACATTTCTGGGTTAACATATTATTTCAATTTGGGAATCGATACGTCACAATATATATTTTCTCCCATTTTATGTCTAGCTACAGGATTCTCTGCCTGAAACTCTGCGTCAAGAAATCATCCATGTGAGTCAACTGCATCTTGAGGTGCTCCTGGGTCACTTCAGCATCCATCTGGGAACGTATCATGTCGACCAATCTCTCCGTATGCTGTTTCAAACAGTTAATAAAACTTTCTTTTAAAGCAAGTCGTTGGTCTTTGGGAATTCCTTGTCGACGCCTGCTTTCTTTACAACA